TTCATGTAGTGCACACGTCTCACGTGTGATGCGTTACACTATTCCGAAAATTTTTTTTCCAAAGCACTGAAAGAAAGCGTTCACTCTGAGCACCTTTAAAAGCTGGCTTTTCCCAAGTCAGAAGGTGAATAAGACATGTTCCTGAATCAATATTCCTTTGTGGTTCCTGGATCAACATTGTGCGCTCCCTCCACCACCTCTGACTCCTGAGCCGGTAAAAACTTCCTCCAGAACACGCGAGTTATTGCGTAGCTGTACATTTCCGTTTCTAAAAATATACCAAAATCTGAAATTCTTGACAATCTTGATCATGCACCTCTTTCATTATTCATCTAATTGAGGACTGTTAGTGTTTGTAATTAGAAGCTGTGTATCTCGCTGAGCCGAGTGGTGCATTTCTGTGCTACACATTAAAACGTAATATTTTCAACAAATGAACAGTATTGCTCATCCTGCAGAGCTGTACAATGGTTTTCCTCTCTGGAAGCCAGTTGGTGCGTGTGGAGGAAATCTTCAGGTGGCTCAGGAATGGGAGGAATGACATTGGATTTCACAACTGGTGAAAAGGGCTGTTGATCATGGTACAACGAAAAGTTCATCCAGGAACATCTCTTGCATAAAGAAACATTCAGCTCTTAGCCTAGCTAACACAACTGGAACAGACAGTGCTATAACTTTATGTGTATCAGATAGCTTTCATGCTTAAATCAAACTGTACCTGAACCATAGCCAGTGCTATATCATGATTTAAACTTCTACTGATGTGCATGCACCCATCCAAACCAACAGAACTGAGGAAACATCTGTGTCTGAAATGGTCAAAAGAACCAAATGATGAAGGTGTGAAAGCGTCCTTGGTGCGAATACAGTCGAAAAAGATGCTAAACATTCCAATCATGTATAAAACAGGGCAGGCGGGAGGAAATGAGAACTGCTCATTGTTGTTTTGAAGTCAGTTCAAATGCTTCCATGACTGAGAGGTTATATGGTTGGTGGCAGCAGATGTGTGTATGTGTGTGTGTGTGTGAGTAAGTGTGTGTGACATTAGACCAGTAGAAATGCACTATTATTAGAAGCTGCAAACCTGATGCAGTGTGTGTGCTGCATCACCCACGTTATTTTCTTAACCAGATCACTGCCAGTGTTAAACAAACTTCTTAGTAGAGTTTATTTTTTAAGAGCCAAAGTAGTACTTTCAAAAAAAAAAAAAAAAAAAAAATCACACCTGCTGAGCAAAGAATGAGTTTGAAGGGAAGTAGCAGTTGAAAATGTCATGTATCTTGTGTGTGAAAGTTGTAATTTATCCAGTCTTATTGTCCTAATGTCTGACTAGTGTATGTACGAGAGTTAGATATGTGAGTGTTTGTAACAGGGACAAAGTGATTCAGGTGGAACTCAGCTCATTAATGCATTTTAAACGAAGTTAAGCCTTTATTAGCACTCTTACAGAAACCTTATTTTGCACTCCTGTAGTTTACTGTATTTTCTGGATTGTAACGCTATGATTTTGAGATTGAAATCATGGCATTCCTTCATTCTGAGCAATGCTAAATTTGCTAGCACTGGGTTGGGCTAACAATGCTAACTGACTTACCTGAGCACTTTACTGAAAATATAATGCACTGAAACATGTAATAAAATAAGGATAGTGCCATATACATGACATAAACTTTTTTCTGTTCCTGGTCTCGTGTGTCTGTATCTTGTAACCGAAGGTACGATACATATCGAACCAGGCACTATCGTTAGGTTGGTGCTAAAGCAGCATCAACAATCTCACAGGGGTGCTAGCGGAATTTAGCATTACGCTGTGATTGGACACGCAAATGCTATTTACGAAGAGATTTAAGCTCTGGGATGTGTGTGACACTCAAGAGAGATTTATTGTCCAGAAAGTACAGTATCTATTTTTGCTTTTTAAATAGACATATATAAGCTTAGTGGAAAAGTAAGTGTGTGTGTGTGTGTGTGTGTGTGTGTGTGTGGGGCTTGAGGGGCTCTCATGTTTGCTAAAGAACCATGTTTGGGTTCTTTATTTCTGCTCACCTGTGAGTAGTGTTACAGTCTCTACAGTAGGCATGTGCCAATATTACATTTTTTGATCTCTCACACTTTACATTCTATTTTATTTTTTTTTATAAAATAATAATCACTATTCTACTAAAGTTGTCGATTCTGCCCCCATGTTTATCACACATGCATGGAACGTTTGTGCAGTCCTCGTCCTGAGTGGGACAGACTTCATCTTGGAAGCACTATCTAGGCAGCGTAGCTCCTCCTAAATTAAATGCTGATGTATTTGGTGGTTTAAAGTGCCTACGATAACAACATATGCTGAATTTTGTGATTTTGTGATTTTGGTTATTGGCACAAGCCTACTGTAAAGGTTCCAGATATGCGAACCTGAGCAGAAGTGTTTGAGAAACAAGCTATCGGTGTAATTTTCTTAAACGTAAAGTAAACCTGATTAGCATGTAGGTAGCAGAAGATCGGTATTAAAGGAATAGTTAAGTTAAAAATTTAATGTATACAATCTTTCTTCTTACCCCAAGTACGGTCCAGCAGCCAAGACATCTTTGGCGCTCAGTATTTTCTTCTTAATTTTATGCTGAAGGTGCTAAAATCTTTTCCATATATACACATCTTCATCTGCTTGCTTCTGATTACTTTAAGCTGTGTAATATATTTGAATTAAATCAATTTGTTAAATATATCACATTATCAAAAAAAATTGAAGTTAATTGTCTTGTTATAGCCAGCTTTGCTTTGGGAGCATTCCAAAGGGGAAAAATTGGTTTTGGTTTCCTTTGTGATTTATAGCATTCAGCTACATTGTGAAGTTTAGGTCATTTTTATAGATAGCAGTTATACCACATTGAAGAACTGATTGAGCTATATGCAGTATCTACCTTGACGATTATTTGTTAGCTGCATTAGCCTCATAGCTCACGCTTGTCTTGGCTGTTCGACTACATTTGGTGTTGGTGGAAAATGTTAATTTTGGTTACTTTGAGGAGAGTGAATTTTTGACTACTTACTTGTGACAATGAATCATTTCATATAAGCAATATTAACACAGAGAGATTGTGAATCCTGTAAAGTCAATAAGAAAGAACGAGGTAACCCGTTCCCACCAATGTACAGCTGTAATCACACACTCAGTGTGTCTGGAGTATCTGTAACATTGCACTGACATTTTGTCCTCCAAATTCTGACTGGAAGTGTCAGGCAGGAAGGGTGAGAGACATCAGGCGTGAGAATCTCTGGCAGAAATCTCTTGCTTTTTATCCTCCTTGTGCATAACCAGCTGTGACAAGCACGACCTTCGCCGTACATGGAGGGAGAGCTGAGCGTGTTGAGGACAAATCCAGACTGAAGTAAAAGTAATGGCATGGTAGGGAGGAGCTGTCACTGGGATTTGGGATTTTTTAAAAACGTGTAAAAGAAAATTGACAAACAGTTGAGGCCAAAAGTTTACTAGGACATAGGCTCAATTTTTCACAACTCCACATATTTCATATAATCATACATTTCCTGTGTTAAGTCGATTACGATATCTACTTTATTTCCATAATTTCAAAATGAGCCAAGAGACAGATTTATTTCAGCTTTCACACATACATCAGATTTGCAGTGGGTCAAAAGTTGACATACGCTTCGCTAGTATTTGGTGTCGTTGCATTTTAATTGCTTGAACCTGAATCAAACCCTTGCTGTTTCCTTCCACAAGCTTCCCACAATACTGTGCTGGAATTTTCTCCCCTTCCTCCTGGCAGAACTGGTGTAACTCGCTCCCTCGCTCAGACACGCCTTTACAGTTCAGTCCGCAAATTATCTCTGGGATTCAGGTCAGGGTTTTGTGAAGGCCACGCCAGTGCTTTCACTGTGCTGTCTTTAAGCCATTTTGTTATACCTTAGAGGTTTGGTTAGGATCATTGTCCTGCTGGAAGACCTGTCTGATGTCTTGAGGGGTTGCTTCAGTATTTCATGAAGTACACCAGCCCCTTTTCCAGTAAAACACCCGCGCAACATGATGCTGCCACCCCCATGCTTCACAGTTAGTTTGGTGTTCTTCAGATTAAAAGCCTCACCCTTTTTCCTCCGTACATAGTGCTGAACATTATGGCCAAACAGTTAAATGTTTTTCATCTGACCAGAGAGCACTCTTTCACAAGGCTGCTGATCACCTTCACACTTCACTCTGCCTGTTTTTATGCTGGTTTTTGAGTAAGAGCTTCAACCTTGCGGAACAGTCTTTAAGACCAAGGAATTTCTTAATGGACCTGATGCTTCCAACTCCTTCTTCAGTTCTTTGTTGTTGTCTTGGGGTTCAGTTGAACCTTTTGGACCAAAGCTTGTTCATCCCCGAGAGTTCATTTGTGCCTCCTTCCTGAACGATGGAGTGTCTGTGTGGTCACAAGATTTTTATATTCTCATATAGTTGTTTGTACATATGCTTGTGCTTCAGGTGTTTGGAAATTGCTCCTAAGGAGAAATCAGACTTCTGGAGGTCCACAGTTTTGTTTCCTGAGGTCTTGGTTGAGTTGTTTGGATCTTCCCGTGGTATCAAGGGCAAAAAGGCACTGACTTTAAAAGTAGGGCCTTCAATACAGCCATGGGTGCTCTCCCAATGAACTCCTCATTGTTACAATTGTCCAATCAGGAGCTTTCTTTTTATTTCTGGAATCTTCCATATTGCTTAAAGAGACAGTGAACTTGGTGTATGTAAACATTTGACCCACTGGAATTCTGATATAGTGAATTAAATCTTAAATAAATCTGTCTCTGATTGTTTTAAAATGATCTCTGATGAGAAGAAAGTAGTTGTTGTTCCTTTTTCAGCTGCTCCCATTAGGGGTCGCCACAGCAGATCATCAGTCAGCGTATTTTGATTTGGCACAGTTTTTACGCTGGATGCCCTTCCTGACACAATCCTCCCCAGTTTTATCCGAGCTTGGGACCAGCACTGGGAGAGCAATATTGCATGCCACTGGGGTTGGTTCCCTGGCCAGGAATCGAACCCGGGCCGCAGCAGTGAGAGCGCTGTGGCCTAACCACTAACCGCGATAACATGAAATGTGTGGAGTTTCAAATGTGTTTAATTTTGTAATGAAACCCAGAAAATGAGATGAGTACTGAACTTAGAGTACTAAGAAATGTCAGTTAATCTCTTGTCATTGAATAAGTCTCTGCATCGTGAACTTACACAGGAAATGAATAGTCCACTTTCTCTTTGCCACTTCCTAGTGTAAACTCAGGGTGAAGCAGGTGTCATAGGTAATACATTATTTAAAGGATACCTACATTGGGAGTTCATAACACATGCATAAGCATTTACAATATAATGAATGACAAAGTGTTGTACAAAAAAGCATTTTTCAGTTTTTCAGTTTATGAATTGCTTTGCCATACATCATATTTTTGGTCCTCAATGATCCCATATTCAACACATTGGTGTGTCCTCAGTGTAGAGTTTAGCCATATATTTAGATGCTTCGTGAAGGAATTTGAAGCCTGTACAAATTTAGTGGCTTGTAACACTGATACTATGAAGCATCATTAACAATAAAGTGCCAATAAATCTGCAAACTTTGCTTGTTAAATATTATCCAATGCTCATGATTGTGTTATGGCTGATTTCTGTGTCACGTTTCCTCTCAGATCAACACACAGCCATTTGCGTTAAAATACATCACGTCATTGTGAACATCCTGACATATGATTATTTTGAACCTCAACAGTTATGGATGGAACCTCGAATATCTTTGTAATGTAGGTATAGCTGTTCCTTTAAGTTTTCTGCTATGATAAAGTCTTCAGGGTTTTGCTTTTTGTGGTTTCTCAATAACATAACAAGATGCATTTTCCTTTAATCGTTAACAATTGTAATTCTTGGCAAGTGCTGTGGCATAAGAGGAATAAAGCACTTCAGGCCCTGTTGCTAGAGGAAAATAATCATCTTCATGGTGCTAATGCCCTTGTCTTTGATTATTGATTATTCCTATAACAGCACACCCTATTGTGCTTTATTCCTTACATAACACATTACCCTTGCTTATGCATGTATTATAAAGTGGTAATGTAGGTCACCTTCAAATAAAGTGTTGTCTTCATATCATATAGGAAGCCTTTAAAAGTGACTTAATGTGAAATAAAAAAAAATATGGATGTGAAATTGGATGTCTATGGGTGTTGGATAAGCAAGACTTTACAACTAAAACTTAGTCTGGAGTAAAAAGTGCAATGCATACGAGCCAATACTCAATGGTGAGGTGTTTGTTGGGCTGATTTTTTTTTTTTTTTACTTTCACTTTCAGAGTTTCAGTTTGAGACATTTTTATACTTTAAAGCTACTTTGTGTGTTGTGACCTTCCTGAAAATGAACTCAGCCAGCACATGAACAGGAGTTTGTGTGTCACATGTCAGAGTTTGATGACCTTTAACAGGAGAACTGTAAGATATTGATGGACATGGCATTGGCCGTGCTGTAGAATGTGTGTGTGTGTGTGTGTGTGTGTGTGTGTACAGATTGCAATAGTGTTAATGTTGTGTGTTTGGATAATGAATCCCACCCTCTCTTAGTTCCCCCGATCACAAGTACAGTATGTGATGTGCACAATATAATTTCACATGTTGATTTATTTTGGCATATGTACAGTGTACATAGGTATAAATGTGTATATAAAAAGAGGAAACAAACAAAAGGCCTCCCTTCTCTTTATTGATTTATTGAATCCATTTTTAAACCTTTGGAAGTTTAACCTGAAAAAGTTAATGTTTGTCAGCAGTCAGAACACACAGTGCATCGCAGCTTGCTGCGTATGGGGCTGTATAACTGCAGACCGGTCAGAGTGCCCATGCTGACCCCTGACCTCCACCGAAAGCGCATATAATTGGCAAGTGAGCATCAGAACTGGACCATGGAGCAATGGAAGAAGGTGGCCTGGTCTGATGAATCACGTTTTCTTTTACATCATTTGGACAGCTGGGTGCGTGTGCGTCGCTTACCTGGGGAAGAGACGGCACCAGGATGCATTACAGGAAGAAAGCAAGCCGGCGGAGGCAGTGTGATGGTCTGACCGATGTTCTGCTGGGAAACCTGGCATTTATGTTGATGTTACTTTGACACGTACCACCTACCTAAACATTGTTGCAGACCAAGTACACCCCTTCATGGCAACAGTATTCCCTGATGGCAGCGGCCTCTTTCAGCAGGATGATGCTCCCTGCCACACTGCAGAAACTGTTCAGGAACGGTTTGAGGAACATGACATAGAGTTCAAGATGTTAACTTGGCCTCCAAATTCTCCAGTCCGATCAATTATCTGTGGGATGTGCTGGAAAAATAAGTCTGATCCATGGAGGCTCCACCTCACAACTTGCAGGACTTAAAGGATCTGCTGCTAACGTCTTTGTGCCAAATACCACAGCACACCTTCAGAGGTCTTGTGGAGTCCATGCCTCGACGGCTCAGGGCTGATTTGGCTGCACAAGGGGGACCTACACAACATTAGGCAGGTGGTTTTAATCTTATGGCTGATCAATATATTTAGAAGCTACCAGTATCTATATATTGAAATTATTTTATTGGCCAAGCAGCAGAGACAAAGGGTGTGTTTTCACACTTGGTCCATTTCAGTGCTCCAAATAGTCTCAGAGCCATGACTCAGCATTTCTTTTTTTGTGCATAAGTGAAGACAACAAATCAACTCAGACCCCTCTAAAGTAACTCACTAGCAAACCATGTTGCCTCAGTCCACTTCACATTTTGCTTTATAGATAAAGAGCTTGAGAGTTGCTATACATACATAGCTTCAGTTGTCTGCCACTTTGCATGGGGTTTTCTCTTTTAATCAGTGTAGTCGAGCTGCTCATACAGTGTTTAAGCACTTGTACCTTGTTTAAATTGTAATACGGGACAAGAGTCATACAAGCAGTCTGCTTTAATAGATCTACAACAAAATGTACACTTTTATCCTAAGATCATCCTACTATTCTAAAAGCCTATAAGAGCTCTGGACTTTCTGAAGTTCATGTCATTTGGCTCTCAGAGCCCTTTTTAAAGGCTTCCTCAAGGTTCCTAAGGATTAGATTTAGAAACATTGTGTTGTAGAGTTCTGCAGAGAACCATTAAGGGACAAACCAAAGGACTCTTCAGTGGTCTTGCAACTCAAATAATTAGAGAGTTAGTTCTATTTGCTCCAAAAGTCTTGAGTGAAAAGAGTATTTTGAACAAAGACATGAAAAGGTTTAAGGGAATCACCAAGAGGAAGGAAAGGTGTAGCATGGAGGGTGCAATTTAAGGACGGAAGATAGCAGGGCAAAGAATGAATTGTGTGGTTGTCACAGAACTCACACACACACACACACACACACACACCAACCATGCTGGAGGATGGACAGGAACATGTCAGAGTAAAATGGGAGGAGTGGGTGTCAGCTAAGCCGAGCTCCGCATGTAGCATGCGTTAGTGGAATGCACACCACTTGAATGGCAGTGAGTCATGGCATGCAAAATCCTAAATCTGAGTTAAAGTGATGGGTCAAAAGTGAAAAACTTTGGTAGGATGGAGAAGATATTTCATATTGCCCTAACATGACTACCCATATCAGAAATAAGCTCTTTACAAAGAGTATATAAAAAATCCTATCTTAAAAGGAGACTTTTACAAAATACCAATAGTCTCGGTCTGAAGATTGCATTCAAGAGAACAGGGATAAACCCAGAACAGAGCCAGACCCAGGACAGAGCCAGACCCAGAACAGGACCAGACCCAGGACAGGGCCAGACCCAGAACAGGGATAAACCCAGAACAGAGCCAGACCCAGGACAGGGATAAACCCAGAACAGACCCAGAACAGGACCAGACCCAGGACAGGGCCAGACCCAGAACAGAGCCAGACCCAGAACAGGGCCAGACCCAGAACAGGGATAAACCCAGGACAGGGCCAGACCCAGAACAGGGCCAGACCCAGAACAGGGATAAACCCAGGACAGGGCCAGACCCAGAACAGGGCCAGACCCAGGACAGGGATAAACCCAGGACAGGACCAGACCCAGAACAGAGCCAGACCCAGAACAGAGCCAGACCCAGAACAGGACCAGCTCTCACCTACTGGTTTCAACCGGGGTCCTACTTACCTGAATGGCTCATTTTGCCTCAGCATTGTCCATAGATGGTGACAGAATAAACGCCTGTAGTATAATATCTCCACAGGATAGAAAATGAATACAGTTCTGCTTTAATATTTTAGGAAGGTGATTCATAGAAAGTGCTCTACATTTCTTGTGATGGGACATGAATCTATCCTGCCCAACGTATTCTCTAAATATTTTTAATGAACTCCAGGTGATAGGAAATTAATTTTTTTTTATTTATATGTTTTTATTTATATATCTTTTCATATTCATTTACTACAATTTGGGCTATAGGACTGGCTAATGTCTGCATTTTCTCTTGATATGTCATCTGTCACCTGCTTGAACTGATAAATCTACCCAATAAAACACTTTCTACTAACAGGAGAGACGTGCCTGGGCGAAGTGTGTAGTGCAGCAGGTGGAGGGATTCGGAATGAATAGCACATGCTACAGTTACAGCATGAAGGAGTGTCAGAAGTGTATTATCATGAAATACACACCAAATTACGAAAGCCTTTCGTGAAAATCAATAGGAAGTATTGAGATTGAGATTTCTTTTTGACGGGTTGTTGGACAAGAGAAAAAAAATAAACCTGATGACTGCTGTATTAGCAACTCACTGAAGCTATTTGTCTGCAACTATGAAAAATAAATTATACATATATATATATATATATATATATATATATATATATATATATATATATATATATAAAATAAAAATATGTATGTATATAATCTGCTAGTACTGATTTGTTCACCCCTGATGTGTTAGCGACTGCTATTGTCTGTAACAATAATTCTGTAATATTTTGGGCTGGATTTGTTACAGGATGTGTGTCCTTTTTAATAATTATTGAATATAATAATTTGATATTGGGCTGTGCTTATAAATATTCAAAAGAATGAATATTTAAAAGAATAA